CAGCTGCAAGTATGACGATATTCCCAGTTCGATTTGTCATTTTGTCATGCCCGAAACAGAAGAATTGCGTCAGTTGAATTTTCACTTTCCCACATCTTCCTTTCTCTGATTGCAGAAGGTTAATTGCAGCTGTTGCCTTGGAGAAACGTACAGGCGCTGCATCCAATGATCACGAAAGCTCGCGGTATTCGCGAATTCCGGTTTGCACTCAGTGCTGACTTTTTGACTTCCTTATCCAGCGCTCGGTTGATACGCAACCAAGTGAATGACAAACAATTTACCAGACCGATATCTTGGAGCGACCTTAGCGTTGACTAAGACAGGGAAAACAAAATTTGAGCCTCTCTTTTCACGGCACTTGTTACGGTTTACGACTGTGTAATTTTATTCAACTGGCAGGTTCGCCCACCAATTTAGATTTTGTTCATTAATCGAAGCCAATCCATGCTGAAAAGCCTAGAAACAGTATAGGGAAGTTTCACCTTTATTGAAAACCGTTGACAAATTACATCTAATGAGACTGGAACTCAGTAACTCCTGGCTACTTGTTTGAACACTAAACCCTCTGGCCAAGACTGGTTAAACAGCAACCTAAATGACTCGCACTTAGATAGGACAAAGTGCCGCCAATCCATTATTCGCGGAAATCAAATCACGCGGTCGCCTGGGATGACTGGCTCTTCAACCATGTTTGTAGAGCGAGTGGTACAATATCCTGTCTAGGTGCAAGCTAATCTTAATGCTGGTCGGCCGTTCCTGATCGACCTCTAAAGTGTTCAAACTACAAGCCAAGAAGTCACCAGTTCAAAATACATGTAACTATGGTTCCGTTAGTAGCACACCATTGAAGACCCCATATAAAGTTAAAGCCGCTGTATAGTGCTCCTCGGCATCTTGATATGGAATGGCTCCGTATACAGGACGGAAAATCTACAAATTCCCCAAGTCATCTCACAAAGACATCACATTTTATTACTTACGTGTTTAACTTTGCCTCACTGCGCTTAAGCACTTATTATTGTCTCCCGTCTATTACTGAACTAAACCTAGCGATCTATTTGGTCATGTCTCTGGTTGTACGATGTATTTTTATCCCCCAAACGCTAAGTTTCAGTGAAAGGAAACGTTAAGTTTCTCCGAAAAGCGAGTCTTTACTGGTGATTGGTCTCTGTAAAAAAGATTTGTTACTCATGAATAGTCTACTACCGTGCTCACTTTATTTCGGGTATGATTTTCCACATCACTAATGTGGGTCGACTTCTAATCAGATGATAGGTTTTTGGCTGCATTCAATCGACGCAATAGTTCTTTTTTTGAAAAGCTGTATACTCCACTCAAGAACAAAAGAAGCCAGTTGACAAAACCGTTTTAAAACCCATCGCAGCAAGTTCGCTGAATATAGTTTAAGACCGTAATGTGACGACTTTGAGCAATACTGGAGCGCGTCTTAGTGACACTACCAACTTGGTCGGTGGTCAGAGGTCCGACGAACACAGTCCTCTGATTCTCGAGTTTGAGGGTTAGAACCTGTGTGGCGACTTGTCCCGTAAACACAGTAATGTGTTTGCATTAATCACAAAGCACCGCTGCCTTGAGGCTTTTGGGCCAGAGGTTTCAATTGAGGATCGTGATCCTCCTCTTATCTAGGTGTGATCGCCCTACGTCCCAACAAAGCAATCACGCCATATTGGCCGTCACGTGGTGCCATCAGACGGGTCGCCTTAACCGCTGCATATAGCAGGGCGGGTGGGCGAAAACAGGCTTCTGCTGACGTCTCCCTTCTCTTTCTTCCGAATGCTATTTACCCTCTCCTAACACCATTAATAACTCTCCCCTTGTTGGCCAAGCAATGAAGACCGATGGCTCCGCCCAACTTGCATTGGTTTTGTATGCTTCACCTGCTCGTAACATGGTGCCGGCATCCTCAGGTTTTATGAATATAATTTTCGACCCTGGACACCCAATCTATCTGACCGCCTCTATTATCTGCGTTCTGAAGGAAGCAGAAAAACAAGCTACTCTTACTCACAAACTGGACTGGCTTTGTATTGAATTGTGCTGTGACCGGGAGACAATAGTTATGGATGAGTGAGTTGTGCTGGATGGTTCTTTTGCTCCACGAATTTTTACTTTCTCTTTGGATCTCCCGAAACAGGACAACCGAAAAGCTCTTCAAATTAGACGTTTCGCACAGTATCTGAACCACAGATTAGATTGTTCTGTCAAAAATTCAGCGCACGTTATCAGTGGGTCTGCTAACCGGGTTTTGGGCGATGATGAATCTGTAATATTCAAACAAATGATATAAGGGCTATCTTCTTTGATCCACTAGGCAGTTGCCATCGATCATCAGTTTGCTGAAATGACACTGAAATGATATATTTTCCGTACATTCCGATGGTGCTAAGCCATACACTTGCGCAAAACGTTGTTTGCTCCTTCCAGGACATTGGTTAACATACTTTAGCAAGAGATGTACGATTAGTGAAAAGCCACTGTTTCTCTATGATCAAAAAATCAATTTCCACATCTCAGTTGATCAGTCTAAGATCTAAATTACCGTGAGGGCGTTATGTGCAACACATTTCATTTACTCGTATATGGCGATCATAAAATTGGGGTACAAGTAAGCCATTCAAACAGAAAACCGTGTGATAATCAGGGTACCAAATCTCAAGACAATGGAGCTGTTTCCTATTTGCACTGGCACAACCACCCACCTGCATGCCGAAACAAACGATATTTCACCTCGTGCGCGCATCTGCTTTTTATCGTTGTTTACCAACTCACCGGCGAACTCCCAGAATAGTTTCCTCGGTTAATGTCGTTCACTTTCCGGAGACTTGCATTCCTTCCCGTAAACTGCACATGAAGAATCTGGCAGATATTCTCCGGGCAGTCAATTAGATTGCCTCGGGCATTAGGTGGCTGAACAAGTCTCAATTTCCATCACCCATAATATGGTCTGTAACCGCCCTGTCATCATTCTTGTCATTAGCTTAACACGCGTTGAAGAAAGTTGTTTTGCCACCGCGAGACCATGATTTTCAGTGACAAAAGGAAGGAAAAATAAACATAGTTAGCGAATCCGTAACGAGGTTGTATGACGGGGATTGCACTTGAGGAGTGTGAACTGAAGGTGGGTTTGTTAGGCCATGTGCTGCGTATGCTGTGCCGTCGTTTGCCGAAACGATTGCTGTTTCCGTACCACATTCAAAGTGGCGGAATGAGATAAGTGACCCTCTCCTGACCGAGCAAGGGGTTATGAAAGAAATTACGAAATGGTTGAGTGCTGTCTGTAATACTCGCATTCCATGATGGGTATGACGTGATCCTCACCACGCCTGGTTGGAGACGATGCAAGTTATGACTGCCACCTGATATCAGTGGCGTTTTGGTTGTGAGTTGTTAGGACGAGTTGACTATTCCCTAAGTTTTGTTATCTTGTTCACGATCTCTTGTATCGTTGAAAAGCGAGTTCATGGTTTACCGTCTGTCTCAACACTTGGCAGTGAATTCATAAAGGCGGTGCAACAGTAATGATGTAACTAATTACACCTACTTCCCCACAATTTTTCAGGGCTATCCAGGACTAATGGGCGAAAAAGGTGAAAAAGGAGATATTGGTTGCTACGGGGATCCGGTATGTTCGTTTAACCGTTTTCTTTTCCGAATAACTGAATATAAACTTTTTATAAGGCTACATACATAATACATACATACATACATACATACATACATACATACAAGTTGCCGTAAATCAGTTTTGATGAGTGCTTGATGGCCTGGATAACAGCTCGAAGGGCGAACTTTCGTTTAGCGCACGAAGCGCATTGCATGTTAAGCGTAAGGTTGGGGTAGTTGATACGTGATGGGAGAGTGAAATTAACCAAGCAAAATCGGGCCTACCTCAACCTTACTGATTTGATGTTCTC